CAAAAGAGACCCCACTAAGGAGAGCGAGCCCGCTGCGGAATATACGGAGGTAGAGAAGCTGTCGTCGCAAATATTACCGTTGTAGTCACTCCTTTTGTCGTCCTCAGCTACTTCCACCCAGAGATGCGGCTGCGGTTTCCCCTCAGGTTTGACGATCCGGCAGGCACTCCAAATGCTGTTTCCGCCTAAGTCGTGCGGAGAGAGGAAGAGAAATAATGCGGGCTTTAAATATGGCCGCCTAGTCCCATAATCGCAGCGCACCTGTGTATTAGCGGTGGTGCCGGCGTCACTATCGAGAGGTTTATGCCAACTGGTCCAGGGTGTTGAGAAACGCACGTACAGCGAATGAAGCAAAAGAAGGATCGATGATCGGAAACCTCAAGTGGTTGATGAGAGTCTTTGTAGTAGTAGTTCATTCAGGTGGTGACTATCAGTATCTACCATTCTCGATCCACTTGCGCTTGAACTTCAGACGGGCTTTTGATGTAGGGAGAATGCCGAGTAAGTGATCCATGCGCGGCTCGGCTTGGCAATAGCCGCGAACGTGTCGGTGTCGAATTGACATGAGTCTGAAATTCCAAACGCGTTGAATTCTGATTTTTTTTCGTGCGCAGCTGGTGATCCGAGAAATTTTTGGTGAGGCATACATGGCAGGGAAGTTCACGAGTGGTGTGACGAAGTTTAAGTTTAAGTTTTAAGTTTTTATTATGGGCGTAACCGCATACAGTACAAAACCACAAGCATGGCAAAAAGCCAAGGTCTAAAAGACCTACACTAACAGCGTTACTTGCCTATCTGAAGATAGCTTGAAGGCAACAGCCTTCAAAGGTTTGTACCACTAATTCCAATTTTGCTTCTAAGGGGAATGAAAGGTGTCGTTCAGAAGCCATGATTCCCGAAGAGTGGGGTGAAGCAGTGGAGTTCCGTTAGGGTCGAATGTTAGAAATCGGAGCGTGGTAGCAGTTGTGGCGCAGTTCCTGGTGGCCTTCTCCCTTCTTATCGGACCACTTAGATCTGCGGGCGAAGTAGATTTTGCATGACGTCATGAAGAGAGCTAGTACGCGGTGAAGTGTCTCAAGGTGCGATATGAAGTTTGCTCGAAATGGCTAGAACACCGATTGTGAAAATAACGAGGAATGAATTGACTAGGAATGAGGAGGGTACAAGTATGAAACCCTAAGAAAGATGTACCCCATATTGTCTACCCCACTACAGCCTACATAGGCAATATCATATAAGTCTGACACACCCCCATAGGCAAAGTGGGGGAGAACAAGGGGTCACAAGACCAGTCAAGCAAAGCAAAGCAAGCTCAGGGTGGATCACAACGTCACCACACATTCCGAGCACAAGTTCAAAGGCCACAAGGCCTGTTCACATGTAGGAGTATAAATCAAGGTGAACAAGCAAGACAATGATCGCAACCTAGCAAGGGTAAGCATGCAGGTGCAGGTATATATAGATCACAGTACAAGCAAAGTCAAGAGGTAAGCAAGTGAGGCCAGGTAGGCACAAGACCTAACATAGTACAGAACCGCTAATGATCACAAGGCTGAAGTGCCTTGGTAAAGATATCAGCAGTGTTGGCCTGAGAGGCCACGTAAGCAAGGCGCAGCTGACCACGCTGCTGCAGCTCATGAGCAAGGAAGTAGCGGAGAGCAATGTGCTTCGTTCTGTGCTCCAGTCTGTGCTCCTGACACAAGGCCAGCATGGCCTTGTTGTCTACGTACAGAACTGGAGGAGAACGAGGCGGCTCTCCCAGGTCGGTCAGCAGGTACGTGAGCCAGCGTAACTCCTGTGCAGCCATGGCCCCTGCATAGATCTCGGCCTCACAGCTGGAGCCGAGAACAGAAGACGAGCGGGTAGACCACCACGAAACAGAGCCGGAACCAAGGCTGAAGGTGTAACCCTGTGACGACCGCTGAGTAGCCAGGTCGTCTGCGTGACCAGTGAGGACAACTCGAGCCCGTCCTCCAAGCACGAGCCTCATGCCCGACGTACTGCACAAGTAGCGCAACACCCTCTTAGCAGCATCCATGTGCTCCTTCCTGTGTCGGCCAGGAGCAACATAGCGTGCTAGGATGCTAAGAGGGTAGGCTAGGTCAGGTCGAGTGCAGGTCATCAGGTACATGATGCAGCCCACAAGCTCTGGATACGGGCCACTCGGCTCTACGGACTCATCCGAAGGCAGAGCTGAGAGCGAGTGGCGCGTAGGCAGAGGAGTGGGCTGTGGCGAGGAGTACGTGAAGCGGAAGCGCTGAAGGACCTGCTGCACCATGTGTGACTGAGTCAGGGTAATGGTGCGCTGTGCTCTGTCCCGGGTGATCCGCAAGCCAAGATAGCTTGTCAGCTCACCCAGGTCTGTGCACGTGTGTCTCTTCTGCAGCTCCGACTTCACGTGGGCGAGTGCCTCAGTGTCAGCAGTAGCAAAGACCAGGTCGTCTACGTACACAAGCACGTAGAACGGCGGCAGCGTGGTGTCGGTGCGTAGAAACAGCGACGGGTCAGCAGTAGAAGGAGCAAACCCAAGAGCAGCAAGAGTCGTCCTCAGTGTGTCGTGCCACTCACGGGGTGCCTGGCGGAGACCGTAGACTGGCCGCCGGAGGCTCCACTGGGTGCCAGGAGGAAACGACCCAGTGAAGCCAGGTGGGCGGCGCAAGCAGATCTCCTCGTGCAGGCTGCCCTGTAGGAAAGCAGTGCTGAAGTCAAGAGAGTGGAGCTCGTAGTCACGCTGAGCGGCTACGTGCAGCAGAACCCGAAGAGTAGTCATCTTCGGGGTAGGGGAGAAGGTCTGGAAGAAGTCAACTCCCTCACGCTGACTGAAGCCTCGTGCAACGTAACGCGCCTTGAAGACAGGCGGAGAACCCGGCGGCCGCTTCACCATGAAAATCCACCTGCCACTGACGATGTTCGCCCCAGGCGGGGGAACCTCGTCGACGTAGGTGCCTGTGGACTTTCAGGAAGCCATCTCTGCGTCCATGGCTGACTGCCACTGAGAGGAGTAGGGACCCTCTATCGCCTCTGTGTAAGAGCGCGGGGTCGGGATGTCTGGTGCATCTGGGTCTCCCTCAGGGGCAATCAGCATGGACACGAGATGAGGTAAAGCAGCGGCAAAGCACTCAAACTCCTCCTGTCTGTCCTCAAGGACGTCCGTGCTAAGAGCACACTCACCCCCGACGGACAGAGGACAGACAGACTCAGACTCAGCAACCAGACTAGCAGCGTAGTCAAGACGACAGAGGGCAGCAAAGTCGACAAGCTCAGCAACTAAGGCAGACGCAGCAGTGGACTCAAAGGAAGCGTCAGTGACAACAGTGGACAGGAGACGCGTGACAGTAGGACTACCAGCACGAAGGGAGTCAGACTCCGGGTCAGCAAGAGCAGGAAGAGAGGACGCAGGAGGAGACGGCAGAGGGACACGCTGTGGAGCAGTGGAAGGACGAAGCGCCATCTGGTGTGTGCCTGGGACAGCAGGAGGACGCTGACGCGGAACACGACGACCAGTGCGAGCAGCACGAACAGGCGACGCACGACGAGACTCAGGCGACGCAGGACGAGACTCAGGCTCACGACGCTCCGGAAGACCTCCGGTCGGACCAGTGTAGGGAGAAGGACCAGGGAGTGGCGAGGCAGGCTGTAACTGTGACTGCGACTGGACAGGCAGACGACACTCTAAAGAGGGAGTGGGACCAGGAGCAGGCGGGAGACCAAGAACCTGCTGAAGGAGCGGAGCGAAGTACGGCCGCAGCCGCGCAGCGCCTCCAGAAACAGCAGAGACAGCACCAGCACCCTCAGCTCTAGGGTCTCCAGCTACAACACCCGCAGCACCACCAGCAGCTCCAGCACCTCCAGCTCCAACTCCCGCAGCAGCTCCAGTCCCAGTAGCTCCAGAAACTCCAGTACGATCACCTCCAGGGCCAACGGCCCCAGCAGCTCCAGCACCAGCAGCACCTCCAGCAGCTCCAGCACCAGCAGCACCTCCAGTAGCTCCAGCACCAGCAGCACCTCCAGCAGCTCCAGCACCAGCAGCACCTCCAGTAGCTCCAGCACCAGCAGCACCTCCTGTAGCTCCAGCACCAGCAGCACCTCCAGTAGCTCCAGCACCTCCAGTAGTAGGCCCCCCAGCTCCAGCAGCACGGCTACAGCGCCGAGCGTACCACTCACGAAGCTGCCGTGGAGAGAGGGGCTCCCGCCGCAACGGGACACGCGGAGGACCTCCAGTCTCAGCACCCCCAGACTCAGCAACCCCAAGCTCAGCACCCCCAGGCTCAGCACCCCCAGGCTCCACACCCCCAGGCTCCGCACCCCCAGGCTCCGCACGCTCAGGCTCAGCACCCCCAGACCCAGCACCCGCAGGCTCAGCACCCCTACCAGCACCAGAGTCAACAGCTACCTCGACAGGCTCGACTGCGTCTACCTGGGACACACCTGAGTGGGCAGGACCCTGAGGGGGGAGGGGGTCTACCTGGGGAGGACCTGGCGTGAGGAAGAGCGGCGGGGGGGGGAGGGGGGGAGTGCGGTAGGGGAAGAGACGGTAGTAGGGAACCGACTCGTCAAACGTGACGTCCTGAGAGGACAGAACACGACGCGAGGTGGGGTGGTAGAACTGCCAACCAGGCGCGTCAGGGGGGAAGCCAAGGAAGGCGCAGGGAACGGCACGAGAGGACAGCTTGTCCGCAGACAAGTCGCGGACGAAAGCTCGAGATCCCCAGACACGGAACACAGACGCATCGCCAACCTTCCCCGTCCACCGCAGAGTGGGGGTGGTCTCCGGCATGGAGACCCGGGGCTGGAGGTTGATCTGATGCGCCGCGTACTGAACCGCGAACGGCCACAGAAAGTGGGGAGCAGCCGCATGGATCATGGACATACGAGCGACATCCATGACCATGCCAATGCGGCGCTCAGCAATCCCATTTTGCTGTGGAGAGGCCGGAAGCGTGAACGTCTGGCGGATGCCCTCCGCCCGACAGAAGGCCCGCAGAAGGTCAGAGGAAAACTCACCACCTCTGTCTGAGTGCAGACGCACAACAGGAAAGTCTGAGCCGAAGCTCTTCCTGAGCTGGAGACGAGCAGCGCGGATCCAGTCGATCAACACCTCAGTGACCTCACCCTTGCGGCGCAAGGGGAAGACTGTGGTGTAACGCGAGTAGTCGTCAATGACCAGCAGGAAGTAACGCTCGTGACCCTGTCCACGGACGCGGGCTGGGCCCCAGACGTCCATGTGAAGAGTCTGCAGTGGGGCCTCTGTCGGAGGAAACTCGGAGGAGTGAGGAGCGGCGCGCTGCCGACCCTCGACGCAAGGAACGCAGGTAGGGGCAGGCCCCGGAGGAAGGGGAGGGAGGGACTCAGGAAGACCCGAGACCAGGACACGGGAGGCCATGCCTCGAAGACGAGGCAGGGAGGGGTGACCAAGGCGGTGGTGCCAGAGAAGAGTCTCGTGGGCCAGGAGGCGACACGAGCAGGGGGCAGACTCAGGGCCAGACCGGGACGCTGCAGCAAACACCTGACCCGACGCGGCTACCTGACGAGGAGGAGACGTAGTGGTGAGGGTGTACAGGCTGGACCCTGGCCTACGGGTGAACGTGGCGAGGTGACGACCCGTCCGAGCACACGTGCAGTGCGTCACACGCTGGTGGGCAGGGGTGAACTGGTGAACACCCCCATCATGAAGATCAGCACCCGCCACCAAGTTCGTAGAGAACGAGGGGAGGTGAAGACCAGTCAGCGAGCCGGACGGAACAGCAGGACACGGGAGGACAGTGGAGGAACGGGCCACAACTGGTCCCCCAGAGGGGTCAGCCAGTGAGACTGCCACCGGCCGACTGAGCGGCGAGAGGGTGGTGCAGTCGCGAAAGAAGGAGCGGGAGGCACCCGAGTCAAGGGTGAAAGTGTGCAAGACCTGTGCCGACGCGGTACCTGAGAGAGCAGCCTCACCAGCACCTGGAGCAGCAGACTCACTAGCACCTGGAGCAGCAGACTCACTAGCACCTAGAGCAGCAGCCTCATTGCCCGGGTCGGGCGGAACACACAGGTAACAGTCACCCTCATCACTAATAGACACAGCATACATAGCAGCAAGGATAGCATCATAATCAAGATCAAAGATAGCAACCCCCGACTTAAGCAGAATATCCCAGCGAGGGATCTCAGTGGAGCCAGGGAACTGAGTACGCCAGGCGTCAGTCAAGCGGCCGAAGTAGCGTGGAGTGGTGTGCGGGCCGCCGCACATCTCTCCAGTGCGGTCGCCTGTGCGAAGAACGTAGGTGCAGGGACCAGCACCCCCAGACCTCCCACGCCCAGCGTACCACTCACGAAGCTACTAAGGCGACGGGGTCTCACGGGAGCGCTGCTGCTGCTGGCGCTGGCTACCGCTAGAGCCTTCCCGCTGCCCACCACCACCCCCGCCACCCCCACCTCCTCCGCCACCGCCGCCTCCTCCACCCCCACTCCTGCTGCCTCCGCCGCCTCCACCTCCACCGCCGCCACCTAAGCCCCCAGTCCCGCCACCACTCCCACCTCCACCCCCACCCCCTCCTCCTCCTCCACCGCCACTACCGCCGCCCCCGCCGCCCCCTCCACCCCCCTTGCCCCACTTGCCCTTGTTGTTGCGGCGCTTGCCACTAGGGGCAGACGCAGTGCCGACCGACTCGGTGCCAACGAGGTCGACAGCAGCAGCAGAGGCAACAGAGGGCAAAAGAGGGACGGGGGAGCACCCCTCAAAGAAAGGGGCACGGGGGTCACCACGAGAGGCTCCTACAGCGACTATACTCTTCTCAGCTGCAAGGAGGCGCTCCTCGAGGAGGTCAACGGTGAGTGTGGTGGGGCAAAGAGAGAGGAAGTGGTCCCTGACCGAGCTAAGGGAGTCAGGGAGATGAGTGACGAGGTAGTAGAGAGTGATGTACATAGGGGGGGGGTTCTTGGCGCAGAACTCGGCAGGAAGCGCAGTGCGGTAGCGGGTGTCACTAGTGCGGAGGTGCGTAATGAGGTCAGCGACTGTGGCAAAAGCGGCTAGGTCAGGGAACAGGTACTAGCGGTCTTGTACTGACTAAGGGCAGCAGTGGCAGGGGAGGAGTAGGGCGCAACAACAGCGTCGTACAGAGTCCTAGCGGTCTTGTACTGACTAAAGTGCGCGTGCTCAGCAGACGGCAGGTGACTACGAATAGCAAGACGGGCAGCAGCATCGCGCGTGGTCCACTGTGAGCGAACAGCACTGTCAGCAGTGGCAGCAGGTGCAACAGAGGCGCCAGACGTGAGATCAAAAAGCGAGACCTGATCTTTGCTATCGCACTGCAGGAACGGCTGTAGATCATCGACCCAGACCTCAAAATCTACTGCCCGACCCTCAGCATCGAATTTGAGTACGTTGGGGGCAGCCATGACAGCAGCAGCAGCAGGCTAGCAGCAGCAGCAGCAGGCTAGCAGCAGCAGCAGCAGGAGGGGCGCGGCTCGGCGGTGCGCTTACCTGGGGCGGGTGGGTAGAAGCCCGCAAGTGGTGGGGCGGGGCCGAGGTGCGTCGGCAGAATCAGGGCCGCGACAGGGCGGCAGGGCAGGGCCGCGACTCGGCTGCAGGGCAGGGCCGGGACGGCGGCGGCGGCTGTCACGGCAGTGGCGGCGGCGGTTGTCTCAGCAGCAGCGGCGGCAGCTGTCACGGCAGGAGCGGCGGCGTCTGTGACGACATCAGCGGCGGCGGCTGTCCCGGCAGCAACGGCGGCGGCGAACGGCCGTGGCGGAAGCGGCAGCGGGAGCAGGCGCGACGGCAGCTGCTGCTGGGGCGGCAGCGACGAGGCGGCTGGGCGGCTACGGCGGGCCGCGAAGAGCCGCGAAGGGCCGCGAAGGGGCCGCGAAGGGCCGTGAGGGGGGCGCAAAGGGCCGCTAAGGGGGCCGCGAAGGGCCGCGAAGGGGCCGTGAAGGGCTGAAAGAGGGGCCGCGAAGGGCCGAGAAGGGGCCGCGAAGGGGCCTTAAGGGGCGCGACGGGCCGCTAAGGGCAGGGGACGCGACGGGAGGGCAGGTGCACGGGGCGCGACTAGGGCAGGCGCGAAGCTCGCTCCGGGCAGGTAAGGAAAAAAAAATTCGTAATAGTGGTGGGCCCTAGAAAACGTTCCCACTAGGGAACTTGCTCTGATACCATGTGAAAATAACGAGGAATGAATTGACTAGGAATGAGGAGGGTACAAGTATGAAACCCTAAGAAAGATGTACCCCATATTGTCTACCCCACTACAGCCTACATAGGCAATATCATATAAGTCTGACTCTGATCTCTCCAGAGAATGGTGGCAGCGGCACCGAGTAACAGGCACCAAGGCGCGATGTGGCTGGAAGGATGTGCAGACGGAAAGAAGGCCGCAGCAGTTTCGATAGTTGTGTCGAGGTGTCTGAGAGCAACGCCTTGAATAGCCCCGACCACCGCCGGGGCTTGACCACAGTCGAAGAACATGTGAGGTAAGTTCTCAATAGACGGAGGGCCGCAGCAAGGACAGATGCCCCCAGACGTAGTGAAACCGAAATCTGGAACCGGACGGCAAGGTGAGGGTGAGAAGCCGGAAGAGAATGTCGCGTTGGCGGGAAGGCTGGTCTTTCAGGAAGGAGTGTTGAGAGTCGGGAAGGAACGGAATTGGGTTTCTAATGACGACATTCCACCGATCAAGGTGATTAAGAGGGAGAGGTTGATATATCAGCTTCCTGATGTCCGCCAGTGTTGGTGAGCTGTTAAACAGCTCATGACGAAAGCCGAGAGTTGGACCGGAGTCAAATGGACCGGCCAGCCAGCGTCCTCTGAAATGAACCGGAATGACATCCTGAAAGGATATCTTGCAACTGCCACAGCTTGCAAGCTCCATCTGTCTCCCCTGTATGACACGGAAGATGTCTACACGGGCTCTGAGGTTAAGAAGAAGAAAAGAAATGCGTAAGGCCTTAGACGGGGAACGAGCTTCACTGGACTCCAAAACCCGGTCATGAACGACTAGGTGGGTCTTGCTTGGGGCGAATCTTCTGAGGGCAGCCCACCAGCTGAGTGGCACAGAGTCAAAAATATTGGCAGTTAGCATCCTGCTACCTGGGTACACAGAGGGGGGGTACTTCTCGAAGATTTCCTCCTCTTCCATCCGGCAAGCGCCTGCAAGAGTGGTAACCAGAAGGTGACCGAGCCTGACTTGCTCTGTGAGTAAGAATTTCTCGTTTTTGAGGCGGCCAAATGGAACATCAGGTTCCTTACAAATAAACCTGTTGAAAGCGACAGGTTCAGCCATGAGGCACCAGGGATCCACACGTGGAGCTTTGACCTTGGAAGGTAAGGGAAGAACAGCTTCAAGTTCCGCACGAAATTTGTCCGGGACTTGCGGAGGAAGAAATTTAAGGATAGAGGGGTGAGCGAGGTAGCAGTGAAGGCCATAAGGGACTGGCACACAGGAATGCGCTATATCCTCATAAGGGGTGGCCTGAAATCTGCGGGTGGCGCGTTGAATATTGAGGGCACGAATGTGAGCAGAGGGTTCAATGGCCCATACTCCACCATGCTTTTCCTGTTGTACAGAAGGTGCTTGGGTATCTGCCTGGTTGCCAGCCCTTGTTGTTTGTACTTGGAGTTTGACATAAAAATACCAATGACGCGATCCAGCGTGGTGATAATCTGTGGAGGGGGGGGGTTGAAAACGGGCACCATAGGAATAAAGGGAGGAAAGGCGCTCCGTAGCCAAAAGGGATCGGCATGTTGTGGTAGCCTTGCTGGTCGCAAGCAGCTTGGTGGTGTTCCGTATGCGGGAGATGATCTTGTCCTAGGTCGTGGCCCCAGGGTGGCTGTGCTCGATGTAAAAAAGACTCTCTCTGCGTCCTCAGAGCCCCGTATTGGAATCGGACCTGCATGGAGGATCGTGGATTCAGGTATGTGGATTGGAAGAACTGAACATTTCTCCCAATTAGGGTGTTCCCCTGACATGGCGGCAAACTGAAGAAGGGCTTGGAGGTAACCTGTAATTCCGCATCGGAATTCAGAAATATGGAAACATCGTCAGCATAACAGGCAGCCAGGCGGCGTTGAGACTGGTTGAAAGCATATCTCGAGAGGAAGGCTTGTAAGTACCTTTGCATGACTTCGATCACACATACAAACAGGAGAGGGGCTAAGGGACATCCCTGGCGAACTCCTGAGCGTACCGGGAAGAGGGGACCGGAGAGGTTATCAATAGAAACTCTGGTGCAAGTGTCTGAATGAAGCATGGTGACCCATCGGATGAAGCCAGGTGGAATGCCTAGATGTTCCAAGCATTTGTAGAGGAAAGAGCGATCAACCATTGTCAACGGGAGTTGTGGTTGGCCTCGTCCTCACTTGGGCGGAGCCGATTTTGTGGTCGGGTGTGCGGGAGGTGCAGCCGACCTGCAGCAGTGGGCGCCGACTTGGGAGGGCGCCAACTTCAGGAGGTCGACTTGGGAGGTCGACCTGACAGGGCGTCGACTTGGTGACGCCGACCTGGTGAAGCCGACGTGGTGCGGTCGGCTGACAGCTGTGCTGGTCGACCTGGAGCTGGTCGACCAGGTGTGTGGTCGACTTGGTGTGGTCGACCGGAGGTGGTCGTCGACTTGGGTGGTCGACGGGCACAAAGAGGAGTGGCGCCGACTTGGGGGCGCCGACCTGGGGTGTCGCCGACTTGGTGAAGTCGGCTGGTGGTCGTCGACTTGGGCAGTCGACGAGCACATACAACTTCTGGTCGACTTTCCCCGAAGAAGTCGACGCCAACCTGGTGGTTTCCAGGTCGACCAAGTTACCAGGGCGACGAAGTTCTGCGGAGGCACGCGACAGTCGCCCAGGTGTTAGTGGCGAGGCCGACCTCGGTGTGGTATCCCGAGGTCAACGTGGCTGATCAGATGCAGTTGTCATCGCCAGGTTGATTTGGTGTGTGCGTTGTGCAGGTGACAAGGCACAGCGCGCCAATCATCTGCGAGCACCTGCGAAGCAGGTGCGATGCTGTTCTGCGGATGCAACGTTGGCACGCCGTCGACCTGCGACGTTGGCACGCCGTTGACTTGCAGTGTTGGCAAGCCGCGACTTTGCACTGCTGGAGCGCGGTCGACCAAGTCGTGCTGGAACGCGGTCGACCATGCTGCGCTGGCAGTCGACCTGCTTGCATGCTAGCTCTGATATAGTCTTGCATGCCAATGTTGTTGCTACCATTGTTGTGAACTTTTGCTAGTGAAACTCTTGCCAACTTTCCCTGTGAACCAGCAAGTAGTGCAAGCAGAAGTAAATG